ATTTCTGAAGAAGGGTCTAGGCCCGAAATGTCAGCCTTCCTGCTCCTCTGATGCTGCTTGGCCTGCTGTGTTCATCCAGCTCTACACCTTATTATCTCAGATTCTCCAGCATCTGCAGTTCCTACTATCTCGGAAACAATTTATCTATATCTTGCTGTATCCTTTCACAATCGTCGGCATTATCAGTAACTCCACCGATCTTCATGTCATCAGCAAACTTGCTTATCAGACGACCCACATTTTCCTCCAAATCATTTATATATGTTACAAACAACAGAGGACCTAAGACTGATCCCTGTGGAACATTACTAGTTACCGGTCTCCATTCTGAAAAGCTCCTTCCCACCGCTATCCTCTGTCTTCTATGACCAAACCAATTTTGTATCCATCTAGCCTGTATATTCTTAAATATTACCATAAATGTCTGCTGCTGCATCTCTATTGATCTACCCCTTTTGCTAATTTGCCAGTTCACTTTAGCTAACTCTGCTTTCATTACATCATCATTGCCCTTAATTAATTTTTTTTAAAAGTAGTCTTGAATCAATTCTTCCTCAAACTGATTATGCATTTCAAACATATTATGGTGGCGACCATCTCAGGATATCTTTACGACAAAGTAATTAATGTTCTCCCATTTCACAACACTAGATCTAAGTATAGACTGCTCTCTGGTCAGCTCTAGAACGTGCTGTTCTAAGAAACCATGCTGAAAACATTCTACATACTCTAGCGCTAGGCTACCTTTCATCTATTTTTTCCAGCTTGTATGCAGATTAAAATCTTCCATGATTATTTCTGCATCTTTCTGACATCTTCCTTTTACTCTAGCCTACTGTTAAGGGCTCCTTGCCTTTATCATTTCTCATCTCCACTTAAACCTAACTTCTTTTTTAAATCTTTCCGCCACTCTCTCTACCCTTAAGATACTGCTAAAAAAAAAGTTGCTTTCACCAACCTTTTGGTCACCTACCTTGATGTTATCATGTGGTTCAGGGTAAAATTTTCTCTGAAAATATTCCTGTGAAGTACCTTGACACGTCTCCTTACCTTAAATAAGCAACAGGAATGCTAATTGGTTACTACAGGGGATGCATGCCAAAGGTTGCTCTGACTTTCGTTGCTTCACGTATACAGCTGGTGTTATTGGGAAACAATTTTTGATATTGGTTCAGATATTTCATTCTCATCTTTATTTCAGTGTGTTGCCGGAAATTAATTAATCCTTATCAGGGAAAAAATGTCCTCATTTTTCACTCTTTTGTCATTCATCAGATTTTTATGAAACATCTCCTACAAATAGCAAGGACCCCCTGTATTTCAGTGATTCAAACCTAAAGCAGAAGGGAATAGTATCAACAACATTGTTTGCAATCTTCTTACTGTGGATGCAGTATTCAAGTATTGTGGATAATTCCTTCTCAGATTTATGTAACAGATTTTATTCATGGTATGGCAAAATTAACAGGTTCCCACTGATCTGAATATTAATTCTGTTTTCACTCTACAGACACTGCCTGAACTGTTCAGTATTCCAGCATTTTGTTTTTGTTTCAGTTTCAGATTTCCAGTGTTTCTGCAATAATTTGCTTTTGTACCAGTGTCTGGTTTCCACACAGCTGAATAATTATTATAAGCAAGAAAAACTGAGGGATTCTGAACCAGCTAACATATGGATCTACAACGAGTCAGATCATGGAGGGATTCTCAACACTATGGACATCTATAGAACAACAGAGCTACAGGAGCAAATAGAAGCAATCCTGGACCATTAATTAGCCCTGCACATCACCCAGATTGGAAAGACTACACCCTACAGTACTGAAGGAGACAGCTGAGCAGATTGTAGAGGCAATGGCGGTGATCTTTCAGGAATCACTGGAGTTGTGGAGAAAGATTAGGGGCAGAGACTATTTTCTAAAAGGGGAAAGACTTTGGAAATCTGAAGCACAAAGGGACTGAGTCCTAGTTCATGGTTCGCTTAAGGTTAACATGCAGGTTCAGTTGGCAGTCAGGAAGGCAAATGCAATGTTAACATTCATTTTGAGAGGGCTAGAACACAAGAGCAGAGATGCACTGCTGAGACTGAACAAAGCTCTAGCCAGACCACATTGAAACATTGCGAGCAGTTTTAGACCACATATCTAATGCAGAAAGTGTTGGGGTTAGTAGAGATGTTTACAAGAATGATCCTGGGGATGAAGGGCTTATCATATGAGGATTGGTTGAGGACTCTGGGTCTGTAACTCAATGGAGTTTAGAAGGATGATGGTGATCTCATTGAAACTGACAGAATACTGAGGACCTGGAAGGAGGCAAAGTGGAAAAGATGTTTCCACTAGATGTGGACCCAAGGGCACAGCGACCCAAGGGGCAACCCTTTAGAACTAAAATGAGGAGGAATTCCTTCAGTCAGAAGGTGGTGAATCTTTGAAACTCTATCGCAGAGGGCTGTGGAGACCAAGTCACTGAATGTATTCAAGACAGAGATAGATAGACAGAGATAGATAGGTTCATGATTGGCAAGGCGGTGAAGGGCTATGGGGAGAAGGCAGGAGAATGGGGTTGAGAAACACATCAGCCCTGATTGAATGGCAGAGCAGACAAATTCTGCTGCTATATCTTATGGTCATATGCACAACTGGCAAGGTTTGCTATTTTGGAACACTTTCATCAGTCAAGAAATAAGATTTTGAGTAATCAATGCTTAAGTGCCCGAAATGTACCTGCTGAGGTCTGGAAACTCCCTGTAGGAGGAAGATTGACGAGAATGGGGAGAGTTGGCTCCTACCAGAATGCGTTCTCAGTCAGGTGTAGATACTTTTAGTTAATCTGTTCAGATGTATTATGAATGGATCTTGTAGCACAGTGGTTAAGTCTGTAACTCTTGACCAGGGGACCTGGGTTCAGGTTCCACCTGCTCCAGTGGTAACAGCATCTCTGAACAGGATAAGAAAATATCTATGGCAACTGCCCAGGTGGTTTGCCTCTTAAAGAAACTGTCACAGTTTGGTCAGCTACACCCAGGTTCAGATATGCTATGACACACCTCTGGAGCAGATGGGACTTGAGCCCAGGTTTCCAATCTCAGAGGTAGGGACATTACCACTGTACCACAAGAACCCACTAGATCAGGTGTATTTTTACACAGATTCCCTAATGTTTATTCCATGCTGCATAATTCTATTTTTTCCCTAATTATCCATTAACAACATGTTAACATAGTTGTTTATTGGGGTTACCCACCATGCCTGTGTTAATTGTATGACAGGAAGGCAGCAAATGTCCATCACTTTCCTCCAGAATTCACTCATATCAACTGGTTTTTAAAATGGAGGGAGACACACTAAGTTAAGAGGGGAATCTTTCTTCTGTTGTCCAGGCACCTGTAACTGGATACAGAACAGAATCAGACACCAAAATCTGTTCAGCCTTGCCTCAGATTGTTGGATACTTTTAAATACAACTTTTTAAAAAGTGGGGCATTTCGATAGAATTAAAGTCAGACCGTATTGGGATGACAACTTGAATTCAATTTTTAATGTTATGGCATCCAATTATAATCTTTACAGTAAACTTTAGAAGGAATTGTTGTGCAGTGTCAGCATCCTAAACCAGAAGCTCTAGGTTCAAGTCCTGCACTAGAATCAGACAAATAAAAGATAAACAAAAAATGTTTCAGGCATTTTTCAATATGGGAGCAAAATTGTATTTGGTTGAAAATAAATGTCTCAATTTCTTTTTGCCAATTCACACCCCTCTGCTGATGGATAGTGTGGGTGTACTGAATCTCCTCCAGGGTTCATGAAGGAGCAGGCAGGGGAGTGAGATGAATATGATCACTCCACAAACAGCCTGTACACACTCAATGAGCTGAATGGGCTCTTTCTGTGCTCTGGCTCTGTAAATTGTCCAGGGACACATTCTTCCAGTTCTTCATTCTAGGCCGTTTGATAATGGAGGGAAGTGCAGTGAAACCTCATCCCACCACTTACCCAATGCCCACTCTGATGGGCATTCCAGCAAAACTGGAACAACCTGATCTTAATCATTCCCTTAAACAGCAACACGATTTTGATGGAGATTGTGATATCTCTTTAATATTACTGAATATAATGGGTTTTGTGCTTTTCAATAATAAATTCAAAACAGACAAGTTACACAAATTGAATCAATTGTTACATTGTTGTCCCTTTCATGGGCTAAAGTGGAACACTTGCAGTTACAAAAGCACAGCTTAAGGCTGCGCAAAACTCATTTATCTCGACACCTGTACAACATGCCGCCATGGAAATATATCAACGTTAGGCCACATCCAAAGAGAGCAGATTTCCTAAAAAAAAAATCCAATGCTGAGCTTCCTGTGTTTAGCAGAGTAGAAAACAAAACTGCTCTCATTAAACCTGATGCTGCTGAAACAAGAAAGCCCACGACCACGACCACTGTTGGATATCAAAAGGATGCACTAGCAAACTCCCTTTTCTACAGAATGACTCCTACTACTGGAATTTGCACCACTACTCCACCCACCCTTTGTTAGCAAGTTGGTGATTAATGATTGCTGGCTTTCTAAAATTGCTTGCTCAGTTAATTCCACATCTTATAACTGGGTGGGGGGAATTAATAAGAAACAATTGCATGTTGCAAACACACTCTGAGTACCTAGCCTCCTTTTAACGTAGTGACTCATTAATTACACCCAAAAGACAGGTTAGCAATTACAATCACTCTGCTTCTCCTCTTTTGGCGATTCTAACATCCGTGGATTAAATCCTCGTTTAACTCCATCCCAACCATCCTCCAGTGCAATCTCCCCGACTTTCATGGAATCGTAAATACATTCCGTTAATGTCATAAAGGCTTGGTCAACATTGCTGTTATTTTTGGCTGAAGTCTCAATATAATTCAGATCCAATGCTTCTGCCAGCTTCTCTGCTTCTTCACGGGAAACTTTACGGTGATCTATTAAGTCACTTTTATGTCCAACCAGAACAAAAATGGTTTTGTTCGGATACACGTGATTATCGACCTCCCGCAGCCATTCCCTGATGCTCTCGAATGACTTCCGATTGGTCACATCGAACATCAGCAGACCCCCAACAGAATTCCTATAGTAGGATCGGGTAATTGATCTGAAATACAACAACATGGTTTTAACTGTGTAACGGTTTAGAAAGAAAAGGCTGATTCATAAATAATTACCTAGATACATCCGCAATATTCAGGTACAACCCATGGTGGCTTTGAATGTTCTTCATTATCTAAATCTCAAAAGCTCAATGTGGCCAACTCAGCCGACAGTGGTGCAAATATTCTCTATTCCTTTTTGGTTCCCCTCATCTTCTCTATTGAGGAAGCAGGTTAGTGCAAGCATGATTGAAAAATGCTCAAACTCCTCAGGCAACATCTATGACGAGAAGCAGAGTAAATATTTCAGGTTGACCTATCTTTTGGCAACATAATCTCGGATATTTCTCCTCATTATCATTCAGTGAATTCCTCGAAAGTCTAATTCGGATCAATAAACAAGTGCTTGGCCAAACACTTGCATCGTGCACTAAATTTACTTCAGCGCAGGAACAACAGCTAGAGGTACACAAACAAGCTCAAACCATTCTCCAGTGCAGTATTGAGGGTGTGCTGCACTGTTGCAGGTGTCACTTTTGACCCAAATGCTATACCAAACCCAGCTTGCCCCCTCAGGTGATATGCAAGATCACATCGTACTACTGAGGAATAGGCAAATTTTTCCCAGTATTTCTATAAATGTCATAAAAGCAGATGATCTGGTTTTTCTCACATCGCTGTTTGCAGGAGCTTGTTGTGTGCAAATTGGCAGCCATGTTTTCTACACTACAACACTAACTGCACTTCAAAAAAAAAAAAAAATCCACATCTTGTAAAACTCTTCAAGATTTCCACTGATCATCACACTATTTAACTCACTTGATTAGACAGTCAATGCAGTGTGTTGCCAACAGCATGGGTTCAACCACACGAGTGGCCACCTTCTCAAATTCACCCCTTAACTGAGATGTGGTGACCCTCGGGTTGAACTCTCACAGTTAGCTCTCTACAATGAGGGAGCATCTCATCACGACTTTTACTCTTTCACTATATAAATTCAAGCCTTTTTTTTTTTAAAAAAAAAAAAAAAAAAAAATTTACACTGGACATTTCTTTAGGTGGTGACATGGCGGTAATGTCACTGGACTCAATCCAGGACTCCAGGTCAAGGTTCTGAGGACACGGATTTGAATCCCACCATGGCAGATGTTGGAATGTGAACTCAATAAATAAACTGGAATAAAGAGCAGGCATAATGGTGACCATGCAACCATTAGCAATTGTCAGAAGAACCTATCTAGTTCACTCATTCCCTTTACAGGAGGAAATCTGCCATCCTTACCTAGTCTGGCCTAAATGGGACTCCAGACCCACAGCAAAGTAGCTGACTCTTAAACTGCCCTCTGGCCCATAAATGCTGGCTTAGAAAACAATGCTCATATCCCATGAATGAATTTTAAAAAAAAAGTTGCCTGGCTGCCAGTTTGAAAGGTAGTGCATCAAGCCACAGGCTTCTTGCAGTTGGTATTAGGAATCACATTATTAAACTTGGAGTGAAGTCTTTGATGAAATCACTTGGTTATTGGTAAGAATTATTCCAGTGCCAACTGGACTTCTCGGTTGCTGTTATTAATTGTGGGCGACCAAGAACAATACCAAAATTAGATTCAGTTCTCTCTTCTTCTCTTGGAAGTTGACAACTAGTTAGCATCTATAAAGCCATTAGTTCCTGCTTAGACTGTAATCTCCAGCATGCTACAGGCTCATGCGAATGTAACTACCAGGCCTGATCCGGCCTTTGTCCACCACTCTCACATGGATTTACAACAATTAGGAGAGGCAGTCCCCCACAACACCTATCTGCCCCACCCTTGAGATTCTGCAAACCATCACTTGCGTCTGTAACAAGAACCAACCTAACAAAATTCTGAGAAAGAGTCATAGCAAACTCAAAACATTAAAATCAATTTCTCTCTCCACAGATGCTGCATGGACTTGCTGAGTTTCTCCAGCATTCTGTTTATTTCAGACTTTCCAGCATCCACAACATCTTGGTTTTATTAACAGAGAGTAAGTTTGAACTAGTCATTTCTCCGCTCGTTGGGATTCAATAATACAAAAAAAAAACAAGCCCCCATTTACACAATGAACAAAAGACTCAGAGCTCATTCCCAAACAATTTGAACATTCTTCCTTCCATGAGATGTCTGGGAGATGAGACTTCATAGGTTTGTAAAGTTTCTAGCTGGTAGTTAAGCCATGCAGGCCTTGTTTAATACCCAAGCTATGCGGAGTCAAGTTGCTGCTTTGTCTGGGGTACTATGATTGACATCAGCATCCATTGGCTCCCTTGGTGAGGGGGATGTGTTTGGAACAGGATTACGCTATTAGCTATTTGAATACTTCAATGTCTTTTACCTACCCCATCTACCGCCTGTACACCATTGGTAATCAGAAATCTATCAATTTCTACCTCAAAACAACATTAAAGACTGAGCTCCTGCAACTCTCTGCAGTACAGAATTTCAAAAGTTCACAACCTTCTCGGAGGGGAGAAATACTCCAAGTGCCATCCCCTGTATATTATTATTTTCTTTTTGTTTTTGTTTTTAAAAATTGTGCCCCCGGTTCTACAGTCCCCAAGCAGGAGAAAAAAATGTCTTACCTGCAGCCACCCTGTCTCTCCCTTTAAGCAGTTTACAAGTTTCAATGAGATCACCTCTCACTCTTCGAAACTCTATAGAATACAGACCCACTTAACCCAATCTCTCTCCATAGGACAGTCGTGCCATCTCAGGAATGAGTTCTGAACCCTTCATTGCACTCCATTTATGGCCATAATATTCTTCCTGAGAGGAGGAGGAGGAGGAGGAGGAGGAGGAGGAGGAGGAGATCAAAACGGCACACAATACTCCAGGTGCAGTCTAACCAAGCTCCTATGTAACTGATGCAAGACTTCACCTACCTGTACACTCATCCTCCTGTAATAAAGTCTTGCTGCAGCTGCATGGTAGACTTCAGTGACTTCTCAAAAGGAACATCCAAGTCCTTTTGGTGTGGAATTTCACAGAATAACTATCTGGAACTGTTACAATGTATGGACTGGATTTAGTTGTGAAGCCTCAGGTAGTTCAATACCTTGCTGATCTGGACTGCCAATTGAAAAATTACCAGCCAGACAAGATCTTAGCAAAAAGAATATATAATGAGATCATTTCTCTTCCCTCCTTGCCTTCATGGAGGTTATTCTGCCATACCATGCATTCACTATTCAAGGCTCAGCGCTTATACTGGAGGCTACCCTGTGTTTTTGGCTCATTGTGTTTGCCATCATCTTTTCACCAACTTCACTTCATCGGGAGGCGATGGCCTAGTGGTATTATCGCAGGACTGTTAATCCAGAGAGCCAGATAATGTTCTGGGGATCTGGGTTCAAATCCCACCATGGCAGATGGTGGAATTTGAATTCAGTAAATATCTGGAATTAGGAATCTAATGATGACTGTGAATCCATTGTCAAAAAAACCCATCTGGTTCACTAATATCCTTTAGGGAGGGAAACTGCCATCCTTACCTGGTCTGGTCTACATGTGACTCCAGACCCACAGCAATATGGTTGACTCTTAACAGCCCTCCAGGCAATTAGGGATGAGTAATAAATGCTGCCTGGGCAGCAACACCCTCAGCCCGTGAATGAATAAAGGAAAAAGATTAAATGATCTACG